CCAATTCGGTTGCATGATCGAATTCTCACGAACCCTAACACACGGTTTGAACAAACGTTCCTTTTCTATCTCATCAATTCTGGACATGAAAAACAATGAGGGAACATCCCTATTTATAGATCCTAACTATGACTAATTCTAATCTACCTAGGAAACCTATTAAAGCAATAAAATATTAAATTCCTAAACATTCTAGATATTATTGTGCAAGAAGGAAACTAAATATCTAAAGTCCTAAATTGACTAGATCTTGATTTTGCTTGGCTTGCACTCCAAACAAATCCCAATCACACGCCCCCTTTTTATTTTCGGCCGCCTCATGCGCGCACGCCCAAACCCTAACGGCCTTAGCGCGCGCCGACCCATGCGTTGCCTATTCCTTAGCGCGCGAGGCATCGCGCGCCTCGTCCGTGTTGCACGCGCACGCTGTTGCGCGCGCCCCGTCCGTGCTGCCTGCCCCTTGCGCATGCGTCTCCCCGCATGCGTCTCCTAATCCTGCCCCGCCTAGGACATCCGCGCCTGTCGCCCAATCGCGCGCCAACGCCCTCGCCCAGCTGCCGCCGCCTTCCTCATGTGCGTGTGCCCCATCGCGCGCTCTCGTCCGCGCGCCCTCGTCACTTGCGCGGCTGTTGCCCACGTTCGACGTCCCCGTGCTTCTCGCGTTCGCTTGTCCGCCCGCGCGTCCCGTCGACGCCTGCGTCCCGATCGCCTATCGCGCACCAGCGTATACCTGCGGTTCCACGCGTATCGCCGACGCCCGCCTCTTGCCTACCTCCTGCGCACGATGACGCGTCACTCGCGTCCAACATCCTGGTGCCGCGTCTCCGTTTAACGCTTCGGCCCTTCGACCCCTTGCGCGCATCATGACACGATGCGCGCCATGTTGGGTTCTATTAGGAACGTCGACAATGTGCACATTCAAATCTATTGAATAATAAATCCTAACGCAGCGGAATCTATTGTTAGGATTAGGACTTACGGTTTAAAAATTTTTGCCGACTCTGAGACGTTTCAGATTTCCGTTGATGGAGATCGTCTGAACACCAAAGCCTAATGGGCAGCTAGACTTGGCCTTTCTCGATTCTAATCGAGTCACCATGGTGTTCCCATTGCTCATCAAGCTCATCGGATCGTCTCGGACCTTCGGTAAGTGCGTCGGACTCCTCGGGAACCATCTTGGACGCGGACCGGGGCTTCTGGACCAAGCTGGAACGGGTTGAACCTTGCTGGCCGCGTCTGGACCGGTCTGGTGATGTTCTGGACCGCTTTCCATGCCTCTGGGCCGAACTGAAGCTGCCTAGGCTCGCTGGACTCGCTCTCGGCCTCGTTGGGAAGCAACTGGACCGAAGACGCGTAACTGGGCCGTGGGCAAGGGCTTGCTGGGACCTGTTAAAGCAGTTGGGCCACGCTTGACAAAGTTGGGCCGAAGCACGCGCACAATAGGCCTGGGAGAGGCGCTGCAGACGCGGGCTAGAGACCGGGCTCTCGCGGGCTGGGACTGAGGGAGAAGCGGGCCTGGCGCGGGCTGGGACGCGGGCTGCCAGCTGAGAGGAAGATCGGGCCGCGCGCGGGCTGTTGCGGGCCAGAAAGCCCGTGCGCCTGGAGCCAAAAAGAAATCCTATTTCTGCAAGGAGAAGGATCGAACCTGCGACCTCCGCCCGCAGAGACCGCCCTGCTCACCATCGCGCTACAGACTGTTTCGCGTAAATTTAACGCAGACTATGGATGAAGAACCTGACCGCGAGAACTGGAAATATATCGAACGGGCTACGAATCAACAACCTTCGATCTTCTATTGTATGACCTTTACACGATCTCTAATA